AATTAATACTCAACCTACATTTTGTTCATATTTTAACAACAATTTTTTTTAATCAATCTAGCAAATATATAAATTGTATTGGCATTTTTGAAAACGTTTCCCAAATTCTTCCACAATTTGATTCCCTGGAGGGAAGTGCCAATATATTATACATTTATAGCTGACAAAAGGGTTAAAATGTATACAAGTTGAAGGGTTGCATTTTTCATTTCAGTCTTCAGGTTCAAACTGCGAGGCGAATTACGACTGAATTATCTTCAGGTAATCATGAACAGGAAGGCCCCTCATTATCCCAGCTAAACTGCTGAGCAACACTAATGACACAAAATTAAAGCAATTGTTCCAATTTAAGATCCTAATCAGACATTAATGAGTCAATCCATCTAATCTACCGTGGACATATGTGCAAACTGTCAGAAACATTTTCACTAGAAGAGTTCATGATCTCGTGATTAGAGTTGCTAACCTTGAGCACCACTTCTCCTGATGGATTTGTAGTGATTTAGGAAGATAYATTTGTTTAATCTCATGATGTATTATGAAGAATGTTAGAATTAATTCCCCAGCAGGGCACTCTTATTTCAGAAATAAAAGGGAAAATGAAAAATATAAATGCCACATAAAGTAACGAGTGAGGGGGTCTATCTTTTAGGCTTTGTCCAGAACATGGCCGTCGTCTTGAAAGCGGCCATATTGGATCAAAATAAAAGGGAGGACTGCTGATTCACTCTGTATATATTCCTGTCTTTAAGCAACTTTACTTAATGCTAGTTCATTTAAGATTTGTCTCTCTTTATAATTAGAAAGTTTCAATAATTTGTTAATAAACAGTAGATACATGAGAATCAGTAAAGACAAATACTAGGGGTGCCACGATACATAAAATTCACGATTCGGTTCAATACTTTAGTCTCACAGTTCGATATTTTTTCGATATAAAAAAGAGAAATGTCCATGCCCTTTTTAACTTGTAATTTATTTAAAATAATTCTGAATATTTGTTTAACCTCAAAA